GAGGAGCCGAGACTACGCGCCCCGGCCGTACAGCGGTGGTACAGCAACTGTGGCGACGGGACGTAACGTCTCCGTCCCCTCCTTCAGGGAACGAGGGTTACCATACGTAACCGAGACGTTTTCTGTTTTAATACATATTATGTTTTTGTGCAAACTGTGATACATTTTCCAGGATTATATGATGAATATAAAGTTCAAGAGTACAGCATTGTTTTTATTTTTGTAACAATTTACTGTCAATTTTTTATTTAATGTGTCTTTGCTGAATAAAAGTATATTTTTACTAAAAAAAAAACTAAAAAAATCTTACTGACCCCAAACTTTGGACTGGTAGTGTAGTTTATTTTAGCATTTTAGCATTCATATTTAAATGCTGATGTTACACTTACCTTGCAGTAACATAAATAAAGACTAACGCAAAGTGGCCAACCTCCCTCTTTTGAGTCAAAAACTCCAAAAATGTATTATTAGGCCCTTTTGTAAAAACCTTTGAATATTGTTTGAATGGCATTTACTCATCTGTCTGCAGGACATTTTGGGCACACATCCCTTCACCAAAATCTCTAACTGGAGTAGTGGACATACCTATTTCCACATTACCATTGGTAACCTGGTTAGAGGCAGCAAACTGCTGTGTGAGACTTCACTGGTGAGTCACCCCTTTTATAAAATACTGTGGTGGTGCAGTGATGGTATCAGATGGTAATACCATGGTACTTTGGTGACGCAAATGCACCAGCTATTCCTTTCTAAAAGACATGCAGTTTGCAGTGTGGCTTACTTTATCAACTGACTTTCCTTACTATTCACAGGGATACAAGATGGACGATCTTCTCACATCTTACATCAGTCAGATGTTGACGACCATGACCAAGCAGCGCAGTTCACGTGTAAATAATAAGTAACATGAAAGGCTTGTAATAGTGCACTGTTTATTTATAAGCACACAGACTCAGTTCTTACTACATCCTAGATCAATAATTTTGATACATGAAGATAAACTGAATCTGCTATTAGTGTTGTTACTTTTTCATGCTGGAGCCTTAATTGTAAATTGCGAGTTTAATTTATTTTATAGCATTTCTCAGTCTTTTAATGTCAATGAAGAACATGATAAATTGACAGTCAAAAACACTTGTTGCCTTTAAGTTTTAGGCCCTCGTATGGTTTTTACTGTGATACCAAATTGAAAGTCTATTAAGTCAGATCAAGTTCATGATTTCAGTTATTTAATTTGTGAATGATTTGCACATCTCATTTTGCCAATTAAATATAAAGATATGGAAATGTTGCAGAATTTGGTTTTGCTCCTTAGCTTAAAGACGTACAAGATTCTCCTCCTGGTCATATTTGACCTCTAGGTCAGCACTTATTGAACTGATTGATACATTAATTAATTTAATGAAATGATTTGATGATTAATTTTAACCAAGTGATAACAAAATTTTATTCAGTCTAAAAATATATCCTCTTAATTTTTCTGAATAGTATTACTTTATTACCTTTGTAAATGCTTGACCAGGTATTTCAGAGATGCATATTAGAATATGTCTTATAAATTAAATGATCAGATATATGACAACAATCATTATAATTTATACACAAGATTGGACATTGTCCAATTTATTTATTCTTTTTTTTTTTTTTTTTTTTAGAA